TTGTAATTGGAATTTAACTCCATCAATTACTAAGTCCCATTTTTGTCCATCACTTCTTCAAGAGTAGTATTGGCGGCATTCTTTCATTTGATTATGCGCCAAGAATTTAAAAAATTGTTGTAACGCTTTGGAAAAAGTGTCAAATAGACCCTTATGCAATTGTAATTCCATCACCTTGACCTATATACCTAAAAAACATCAAATAAACATGTCTACTCTAAAAAAACATCACATTAATCCATTTTACGGAAGAAGACCTTTTTAGTCGTTAATTGTGATTTTTTTCATTTTTTCCCTTCTTTTTCTTTCCTCCTTGATAATTGTCCATCTCCCACATGCTATTAGCACAAAGGTTTAATGTGGTACCTTAAGTAATGTTTACCATCACCACATCGAACACAAACATTTTTCTAATTTTCATAGGATAAATCCTTGCCCTCATTCTCTAGGCATCACGTAGCTTCAAACAGAAGCATTGTCAGAGATGATTCATTGTTTTATTGTGGTTTGGTTCAAACGATCTTGATAGATTCTTGATTTCTATCACAGTAAAGCAGGGTTTAGCCCAATTTGTTTGTCCAGTCGTTTGTCCGAAATGGAAGTGACCAAATGTTTAGATACAAAATGGCTCAATTGTCCACATAAGGCGAAAAACTAGAGATTCTCATTTAAGAAACTAAAAAGAGAGAACAAAGGTGAATTAGACTTTGAGTTAAGACTCCTCTTCCAACTCTAACATGCTGCTTGCTAGGCTTGTTTAACCACTCAAGGTTTCTACGAGCACAAAAATTTAAAAACCGGCCTATCACCTGTATAAATCCTATAGTTAACATAGACCAGAGATTTATCGTGACTTGTTTTGTCAAACAGCTCTTAAAGAACCTTCTGAGCCAGGGACGACTTTGCCGATTTATTTCTGACCGACCTGTCGATGATAAAAGAGGGTGGGAGATGGACGAACCAAAATACCGTACATGAGGAAAGAAAAAGGAAAAAAGTAAAGAAAAAATGGGAAAAGAAAGAACACATTTACCGGCTAAAAGGGATCTTAAAAAGGATCTTCTTCCAGCAAATGGCTTAGTGTGATTCTTTTTTAAGTAGATATGTTTATGTGATGCTTTTTTAAGTACATGACCATTTTCCCTCTTCTTATGCTTCATCATGCGTCAAGTATATTTCATGTATGCATAGTATAACAATAAATGCAAATATATAAGTTGGACAGAAATATATTTTGAGTTTAATTTATTCTATTTTTCATACTGTATTTCAACATAGAATTGTATAATTTATATTTTTCGAGCCTAATATATATTCTTCATGTTCTTCTTAATGGTCAACGATATTCTTTAATGGTCTAAAAAATCATAAAAATTAACAAAATTCGAGAACAATTATAGGTTTACTTATGGTCATTTTTGCAAAAATATGATCCTTAATCACGGTCAACGGGGCTTTCACATCTCACTAATTTCTCCAAAATGAAAATTCTTACATATATGTAAGAATAGTGAAGATAAAAATGTAACAAAAAAATGTTGTGTATACAAGAGTCTAAAAAAAACCGAGCATTTCAATCGTTTTGTGATCCATGCTCACATTAGTTTTTAAAATATTGTGAATCATTAACACACAACAAAGTATTTTCCCATGCGTCACACGGGTACTATACTAGTTTGGCGAGATATAAAAATGTGTGTGTATACATGAAATGTGTGTATACACGAAATTAGCGGCGTATCCTGAAAAATACATCCGGGAGTGCAATCGAGCTTTTCTTCTTAATAATTGTTTTCTTTTCATTTTTTAGTTTGTTAAATTTTGTATACTTATTTACGGTTATATATTTATTAATTTGAAATTATATTTTTATGTGTTAGGGGTTTAACGATGAAACATGGTAATAATGTAGAAGCGAATCGACATGGAATTAACGGTTTTTCAAATGGTTCCTAATTTTCTTTCAACAACTGAACCGATCTCACCCTTACATTTTTCTTCGTAAGACAATATCTAAAATATCACTTTTTAATAGTCTTATGTTTATCTTGTGTATCGGTAATAATTTAGAATTTCCTCGTTCAACTTTATTTACCGTACAATGATAAAAATCGAAATTTAACGTTCAAATCTTGCATATCGAGATCATCCCGGTACCCACCTCCCACCTCCCAACCCGGCCGGTAATAATTAGCCACATCTGCAACCGGATATGCGTACTTGTGACGAGTAGAAGACAACTGAAAAGTGCACGGAAATTTTTGGTGAGGAGAAAAGACAATTGCAAAAAAATAATGTACTAAGAATTAGTTAAAAGTCCACAAGAATCTATAATTTTAGAAGTCAATAAGAATGAATGAAAGTTTGAATGTGCCTAGATTTTTATAGAGTTTTAAAAGTCTACATTGAATACACGTAAACTTTTCAAATTCATGGACTTTTAAAACTTTGTCACTAAGGATGTTTTTACTTGGACTGTAATTTGTCTCAGGCCAAACCAGATCATACCAGACTTGGATAGTTATAAAAATGCAAAGAAACCAGAGCAAACCAGACTAGTTCAGACCAGATCAGACCAGATCAGCCCAACAAATTACAGTCCAAGTAAAAACATCCTAATTCCAAATACAATACACCCACTTTAGTTAACAAGGTCAACGATATTCTTTAATTGTCTCATACTCTCATACAACAACGACAACAACAACAACATCCAAGCCTTAGTCCCAAAAGATATTGGGGTCAGCTAACATGAATCGATACATGATATCACCACCAAAAGAAAAAGAAAGAAAATAAAGATAAAAAATAAGCTATTATAAAAAGATAAAATAAAAAGAGATGAATATACCTAAAAATAATAAAATAAAAAAGATAAAAATAATGTATATATATAAGGATAAAAGAATAAAAAGAAAAAAGAAAAAAGAAAAAAGATGAGGGGAAATAATAATACGAGATCACTCCTCCACTTTGCTCTCTCCAGAGTCATACCCTCATCCAACCCAAGAAGATGCATATCACTTTGGACTCCCCTAACCCACGTTTGTTTGGGTCTTCCTCTTCCTCTCTTCGCTACCTCTTCTCCACACATCTCAACACGTCTGACAGGTGCATCACTCGACCTTCTACACACATGCCCAAACCACCGTATGTTCACTTTTCCTCTTTCTTCCTTTACAGCTTTCTTTGCTCTTCTTCTAGCCTCCTTGTACTCCTCTATGTTCTCGTCACTCCAACTTTTGCCCAATTTCTTATAATATTCTCTTTTGATCCTTATTGCTGGTTTCACCTCATCATTTCACCTCATCATTCCTCTCTTCCCTACCTCTTCTCCACACATCTCAACACGTCTGACAGGTGCATCACTCGACCTTCTACACACATGCCCAAACCACCGTATGTTCACTTTTCCTCTTTCTTCCTTTACAGCTTTCTTTGCTCTTCTTCTAGCCTCCTTGTATTCCTCTATGTTCTCGTCACTCCAACTCTTGCCCAATTTCTTATAGTATTCTCTTTTGATCCTTATTGCTGGTTTCACCTCATCATTCCACCAAAATATGTTCTTTTTTGGTGGCAGACATCCTTTAGATTCTCCAAGTATCTTTTTCGCCACTTTGTTAAAGGTGGACTCCATTGATAACCACACATCATCCACATGTGCGTCATTATCAATGGACCAAACATCTTCCGCGAAAAAGTTTGTCTCATACTCTCATATATCGTAAAAATTAACAAAATTCGAGAACAATTATAGGTTTATTTATGATCATTTTTGCAAAAATATGATCCTTAATCACGGTCAACGGGGCTTTCACATCTCACTAATCCCTCCAAAATGAAAATTCTTACATATATGTAAGAATAGTGAAGATAAAAATGTAACAAAAAATTTTGTGTATACAAAAGTCTAAAAAAATGAGCATGTCAATCATTTTGTAATCCATGCTCACATTAGTTTTTAAAATATTGTGAATCATTAACACACAAACAAAGTGTCACATGACACGTGTAATTTCACTTTGTTAGAATTACATGTCACATGTAATTTGTGCAAAATTATGTCAATATATAAATGAATCAACCAAGGGAAGGATCAAGCATGTATTTAGAATTAATTTAAATTGACAATTCACAAGCATATTTAAAAATTAGTACTCCCTCCGTCCCACTAAGATCTCCCCGCTTTCATTTTTTAGCCGTCCCAAAATGATCTTCTCATTTCCCTAAATGGAAAGTTATCCTACATTAAAACAGTGGCAAACAGTGTCGAAACAGTGTACTCTATAGTAAAGTCAAATTTATTTCCTAAATATGTGTGTAGGTCAAAGTAGAAAGTTCTTAGAGGGACGGAAGTAGTATATATTATGTATAAAATGAGTTCATACGATAAACTAGAATTGTAATTATATTGATGTAGTTTAGATCTTTCCTGCAAGAAAAAAATTAAAAAGAATAATATAAAACCACTTAAAATATGTTTAAGGCTTCAAAGGCAAAAGCAAAAAAAATCAAAAAAATCTGAAGCAAAGATTCGAACCCCCTTGCCCATTTAGGAAGCACCGTTGATACCTATACTTCTTTCCGCTCAGCCACGGACACATCTAACTACAAGTATCGTACTTATTATATACGATCCTTTTATTTAACACACACATATGATATACGAAGTATGATATATGTATAATTTTAAATTGGATATATATGTATAGGGGTTGGGTGGGATTGAAACTTGAGAGGAGGCCCATACCCTGTATACGCCCCTGCATGAAATGTGTGGGCCTGTGCATTCCTTTATAATGTGAGTGATTGCGCTTTATTTGAAGTGAGGGGTGGAACGGTATTCTAATTTGATTCCAACCGGACCATCTTAATTCTAAAAATGCCATAGCATCCGTGTAATTTTCTAGTCAAGGATGGATCCGGACCCAATCCCGAACAGCATCAGACCAAGCATGTTAATTAACTGAACAAGGCACAGAACCGGCATGCGTTCCTCTGAATAGAGCAGGAATGACAGTTTTTTTAAATGAAAGATAGGGTATTCAGAGCCAATACCTAATCAGAACCAAAACACAACTCATAGCCCACGTTCGGTTCTTTTACGGGCAATGCTACAATTGGAGCTGAAAGCAAACCGGGGCCAAGTAAGTCCCTAGATACAGATTGGTTATAGTGTTGGTCTCTAATCTCTATTGTGGTTCACACTTCAGAGTGTGCTTCTTCTGGACCAATTTTTTGAAGGAGCTAGTTGTGGGAACCAGAAGCCCCCAATCCAGTCCAACTATACATTTGCCCAGTATGAGTTCCAATCTTGTTCCATAAGACAACTCTGTGATATAAATCGTCCACATCTTGACCGCATCAACCCCTAAGCTAGAGCACACGGATGGTCATGCAATGCAAAGACGGGCCTTTTAAGCTTTAAGAGGTTAAAATGGAATTAAACCCATAAGATCCAATTGACTAATTAAGAATACCATATAACCAAATACTTGTACAAATGCTCTAAAACGATATCATGGGATTTATAGCAAAGTTATTAAATGAATATACAAGACTAAAGAGAATTTAGTAATTTACAAGAACAATAAACAAAATATATGCTGCTCAAAGGAAACAGAATATACAAAGAAAAATGCAAACTTTTGGCTGTCTTTTGATTTCAACTTACAATTGATGTGGTAAAGTATCATTCATCTCGTTTGTCATCATCCAAGTCCATGTACTCAAAGCTAAGGGCACTGTTTGGATTCGGATTAAAACTAGAATTCACATAACATTTCATGTCATGAAACAGGTTCAAATTATCCACCAGTTTGTGATATATGTTGCATCCACAACACTACATGACCACATAAAACAGACCAATTCAGAAATTTAACTAGACAGTAAGCAATTGAAGATCAGTAGAGGAATGACAATCATTCTTATGAAATTTGCCAAGCATTAGCCCAGCACTTAAGCAGTGCTTAACAGAACTAGAACACCTAATTGGGTGGGTACCTAGCCCGACTAAAACCAAACAGGTCTAGAGTCGTAAATAGGGACACGGAAGATAGCATAGGGACATGGGTAAGAATCACATTTTTAGTCCCTCTTTGTTTGATACTACTCCATAATATGTACTCCATAGTTTATAACCTGTCTCTGAAAATTTATTATAATTTCGCTACATCAATTGTTTAGCTGAAATATTATTGATCTTCTTAATATAAAAGTTTAGTATTAGGCGGGGAGGGTAAAGGATTGACCTATTATGGAAAGGATGTAATAAAAATAATAGGTGAGAGAAGTCAGAAGTGTAAGGGCGTGTAAACAGTGGCAGATTCAAAGGGGGCAGTTGTCTCCTCTCAACCCCCACCCAACCCCATATATATAATATTTCCTGAATACGCCACTGCGTGTAAACATCCCCTTACCTGCAACTCATTTCTAGTGAGTTGGTTATAATCCCCCCACTTGGGAGTGTAGGGTAGGTGAAGAGAGAAGTCTTAAAACATTGTTGTATTTTCCACTCTCACTTGCAACCCTAGACATTCACTGTCTACACCATTTTCTCCTCGTAAGATAGTTACTTGCATTTTATATCCTATTTTCCCAATTTAAACACCCCAAACAAGAACAACGTAACAGCTGACACCTCCCTTTCCTTCATCTTTCTTTTACACTTATGTTCATTAATTAGATTCTTCTACACCCTCAACTGGCGAAGCTAGAGGTATGCCAAGCATAACAATTGCTGAACAAAACATGTAAAATTCGAAAAATAAATCCAATCCAATTTATTTACATAATAGTAAAAAAATTAGGTACCTGAACAAAGACGGTACCATCCGTGTAAGCATGAGGGTTGATGGCGCGAGTTGTGCGCTGTCCACAGACGTTGCAGGTGAAGGCCACACGCATACGACGTCGGGGAGATTTGGTAAAGAGGGACCAAGGGAAGGTAGATACTTGCTCCGTTCCCGAATCCGGTTTTGCACCAGCCGGAACCGGCGGTCCTTCCATCCCTGAACCTGTAGTCCAGCCTCGAACGTTCGCAGCTCTCAGAACTAACCCCATCGCCACGTCCTAACAGAAATGATGGAAATTCCGAGTAATGATCCAGAAGAGAAACACAAAGGGGTTTGAAGACTTTACCTCGGAAAGTGTCTGATTGGGAATGATTGGATCGAAGGCTGGCCCATCGCAGTCGGATGGGATATCAGGTCCGTTTCTATTACCTGCGGAACAGAGCGAATCATAACGGGGCGCGAAAGCCCGATTGTTAATTCAATAAAATACATACGAGTGGACGGAGATTGGTACTTCTGTGGGAGGCGGAGAAGCGGATGATGCGTTTGGACGAAAGGCGATTGGCTTTTAAAGGGACAGAGGTTGGGAGAGAAGGCGGCGGGACTGCGGCGGCGGTGAATGATGCCAGAGCTTCCATGCCGGCTGCGTTAAACTTAAACAGTTGCGAGGTGATTCCTTGCTTCAAATGATTCTCGAAGCACTTTAATAATAGAAAAATGATTAGTGTACATTATTTGTCCACAAAACCCCTTAGTTGCCTGTGTACACAAACAATGTACACATTTTGTGTACACCAAGAATGGTCCTTATTAATATTACTAGCGGAGGTGATGCCCGACATTTGCCTATTCTTTCACGAAATTGTTGTGCCAATCTTAAAGTGAAATTATATTCAATTGTCTAAATTTACATTGTCTCTTTTTTGGCAATAACTTTAAAAATTCCATGCAATTTTTTATATATTTTATAAAACTATTAAGTAATAGTTCATCACAATAAAACAATAACTCAGTCACAACAAATGTTAATTAATTGAATTTTGTATTGCTTTGGCATATAGGATTTGTTATATTTCTTGGATTAAATTAAGGTTGTCCAATATATACTACATATCTTTTATTTTATTTTATTACTATCTACTTAATTATTTTATTCTTTTATTTCTGTAACAAGGATAGTGATAAAAGCTTGGTATAATTCAAGCAATGATGTTACAGATTCAATAAAATCCAAATTATGACATGTAGCAATAATTTATGGAAGGACTTGTCATTTGTCATTTTGAAGAATTAGAAGTGAAATAGTGGGTTAGATTTATGGTTGAAGTAACTCTAGTTCACTATACAATTTAATACTCCCTCCGTCCCCTTTCAAAAGTCCCGGAAGAGGATGACATGAGTTTTAAGAAAAGTGAGTTTGTATGGTTGATATTAATTGATAAAGTAAGAATAAAGTAAGAATGATTTTGAACTACACAAACTTTACCAAATAAGGTATGAGACAATTAAATAGGGACATCTTAATATGGTAAAGTGAGACATTTAAAAGTGGATGGAGGGAGTAGCTCTTAGAAGAAGAAGTGAAAATCAGTTGTTTGTCACCAATTCTTACAAGTATAGAGCATATAGAGGAGGAATAAATTTTGAATACTGAAAGTACACATTGTATGATTCTCTTTTATATGCTGCCTTTACTGCTACCCCATCATCATAAAACTCTCAATCGACTGCTACTTCAAACTTCTCATGAAATTCCCAACCACTTCCTTTGGAATACGCTCATCTCTATTGCCTGACTTTGTCTTGCTCCGAAACAAGTAGAGAGGTCCAGATGGTTTGGAAGTATAAGTACCAGCAATGACATTAATTAAATCACAGTGAAACTGGATATCTAAGCTTTGTTTTTTGAGAAGCACTCCCAGATGATGAAATGGGAGTGTAGGTCGTTTCTCGTCAAGCAGTTCAGTAAGCTATCAACCTCTTCTATAAACAATAAATTACATGTGATATGAAACTTAACACAGAATTCAGGAACCTCTTGACAAATACAATCCTCCTTGATTGAATAAGGAAGAAGCAGAATAGGAAAGAAGATGGCAAGTGCCGAATGAATACCTGAAGGTGGTTGGCTGCGATGAAAACAACGACAAGGTGTGGGTTGGGTTGCTACACTCATCTTCTACACTGGAATTTGCTGTGTGACATTCCGATATAGAAACTAAATTCAGGTTGCTACTTTAAAATTCCCCGGTCTTTAAACTGGAATTTGCTACCAAAAAGAATGCAACTTTCATCAGAGACTTCAATAAACACATGTTAGCCTCGTCCTTTTTCCATCCAATTCTGACCGGTTCCGATCCGTCAATGGAAGCGTTTTAAGTTATACACGCCGATTCAAATCTCTTTTCGGCAGACGGTCTAATACCTTCATTCTTCGTATTTTCATCTTTCTCTCCGCCGATAAGAAGGTATTTCTAAATGACTTCATTATCTATTCGACACATCTACAAGACTGCACACATGTTCTTCTATTTCGCAATTGTTGTTCACAACGAACAACACAATTTGCATTAATTGCTTTGCACTCAGAAATTATTTGCGTGCCAGTGAATGACGTTTGAGTTTAAAACTGTGATTCTAATCCGGTTGTGCAAGTTTAATCATAATAACTATTAATAAGCACAGTTTTTTTCAGTCAACAACTTTTTCTCATTTCACTGACCTTAAACAATGTCATTAACTAATAATGCCTCCATACTGTTCGTCAAAATGCCTCTAGAACGGTTTCTCAATGTATACTTTTCCAGTAGAGAGTGTAACTACACTTGTTTAACATACAAACGGAACATATAAATTGCTAAAAAAAATGGGCTCAACTATAAACGGAACACACACAAAATAATTTTCAGGGTCATAGTTCATAATTTTTTGTTTTTGTTTTTGTTTTTTACATATACTTTATTTTTAGGGGTCATAGTTCATAATTAATAAACAGAAGAAACATATCACATTGCACTACTATAAAAAATAAAAATCAACAGATGCTGATTACTTCCTTTACATCATTTTCCCTTCCCTCCATTACATTGTGAATTTCACATTTTTCAGGGTCATTGTATTTATAGGTACAATCCTACAAATAAGGAGAACACCATCTGCAGATAGAGAAGAAGTTATCTTACAAATTGGCATGACATAAAAACTGCCATTTTTTCATTTCTTAAAAAGAAATACTTTTCACAAATGCTAAATGAAACTACAAAATTAGTATATAATGTCGATTTTTTCAACCAAAAAGTGTATAGTAGTCTGTAAACTTCCTAGAAATTTTCACTTAATTACAATGAAAAGATTTGCCTATAGATCGTACATTTAAGACAGTCATGTGTTTTATCCAACCTTTTAAAATTTAAATATCCTTTTTGGTTGTGCTTCTATATATGATACTCTTTAAACTTCATATTTATGTACTTTGGTAATTAAAAAAATGTATAGACCGAAGGAGCTGGGGGAGTTGGTATCAGATTCTTCATGGAGATTCAAAAATTGTTTTCCATGAAAATGTGGTGGAATTATCAAGAAAGGATCAAAGACTGTGGGCTAAATTAATGCACATGAGATATCACAATTGAACTCCTGTTGATATTAAGCTTACAGATTCGCATGTGTCGAAGGCTAAATGGAATCAACTTGGAAGTAGAAAAGTTGGTTGGTAGAGAAAATAACAAACTTAATGGCTGCCCTCGAAGGGTGGTTATTCAGTGAAATCAGCCTATGAAGCTTTGCACAAGAGTCCTGGATCATCCCTTTCACTATCCTTTATTTGGCACTCTAAACAGGCAGCTAAAGTTTGCATCTTTCTTTGGAGGTTATGGTATGGATGTCTCCCCTTCCCGGCTAATCTAGTAAGATTTCAGCGGTTTTCCCATCTATGTGTCCATTCCGTCGAAACGATGATGCATAAGAAAATCATGTTCTTTACAAATGTAGTCACGCAGCAAAAGTTTGAAAGCATTTTGCATGCTTACTACTGAGAGATTGGAAAAATGAGTCTAGGCTTAATTAAGGTTTCTTCAGATAGTGGCTTAAGAGTAATAGGAAAACAATAGATGGCAATTACATGGTAGTACCACCAGGAGTTATTACATGGTTTTTATGGAAGTGTTACTGCTCAGCTACCTGGGGAAACGAGGAGTTTGATGATAGTAGAATTGTTAACCAGATCAGGTAATATATGTTGGCATGGTGCATGGCTCATGACATACTAAGTGAAGCTGGGGCTTTAAGGCATGCAGGTCTTATTCCGGCACACGCTTTCATTAAAAGATCGTTTGTTCAAAGATGGAGTAAACCGGGAGAGAAGTCCGCTAAGCTAAATAGGGCTCTATTCAGAAGGACAATTAGAATCTCAAGTGGGGTTATACTTAGGAACCATCATGTTAAGGTGATCAAGACATCTTTTATCTATTCCCTTGAGACAGCTGATCAGTTGGAAGTTTTAAACAAAGCTACTCTGTGGTGTTATAATCTTAATACAGATAGGTGGAGATAGATATCACTTCTAAACATTATCAGAACTTGAAAGAGAACACGAAGCCTAAGTGGAAGCAGAAATGGTTATTTCGTTCAGGTCGATTCATAAACATTCGAATGCTGCAACTATTCTTCTTTCCCAAGCTTCAATATCAGAAGATAGGATCTTCAAGGATGGAACTCAACTTTTAGCTCAGGTACTTGGTGCAATTAAATTGGCTCTGAAGGAATTCCCTATGTGTGCATGTGAGTATTGCTTCGTAAGGTGGGCTTGTAATCGCATGAGTCCTAAACTTTTGGTGCTTTGCACAAACATTAGTTTATTTATACCACTTCGAGAGAGGTTTATTTCTAATATCCTGATAAATGCTCTCCAACATTTAGAGGTCGTTTGGCAACATTGTTTTTCGGCTTATCAGCCAGCTTTTTCACCAAACACGTATTTTTGCTTTCGCGCGCTGAATTGTGTAATAAGCAGAAAAAGTAAGGTTAGAGACTTAGAGCCCGTTTGGTAGCACCAAAATCGGCTGTTTTGGCTGATTCTGCTGAAATTTATGATATTCTGGCTGGAGTGGCTGTTTTGGCTGATTCTGCTGATTTAAGAAAAAAATATTTTAAAAATATATTTTATTAATAAATTAAAGAAAAAATTATATGTAAAAATAGCTAAAATGGTCCTCTACAGTAACTTCAGCCAATACAGTCAGAAAAGTAACTCCAACCTTACTTTTTCGGCTTATTACACAATTCAGCGCGCGAAAGTAAAAGTTACGTGTTTGGTGAAAAAGCTGGCTGATAAGCCTGATAAGCCGAAAACAGAGTTCTCCAAACGGGCTCTTAGAGTTACTTTTCTGACTGTATTGGCTGAAGTTACTGTAGATGACCATTTTAGCTATTTTTATATATAACTTTTTCTTTATTTTTTTAATAAAATATATTTTAAAAATAATTTTTTCTTAAATCAGTAGAATCAGCCCATGCAGCCACTTCAGCCAAAACTTCATAAATTTCAGCAGAAACAGCCAAATAAGCCGATTTTCGTGCTACCAAACGGGCCCTTGCTCCATTAATTTTGGTTGTCTGATTACCGGTTTAAAAAAACGTTAAAAAACAGTACTAAATTCAACTTTGTAAGATTCACTCACATACTAAAAAGAAGAATCAAGAATATTATTAATACGGAGTATGTTGTTTACACATAAAATTGTTCAACACATGATGAAGATTATGGAACAATTTATTTTTCATTACCATTTTATACTGATGTTAACTATTATACGGAGTAGTATACTACAATGAAAATTAGAACGTAAACAATTTGAAAGTTTGAACAATTCCATCATATCCAACGTCACAAAC